TCTTTTATTTTTGATTTTCTTTTTATATCATGAACTTACTCAATATTGACAAACACAAATGTTTCCCGCATACAAAGAACAGAAACTGTGAATCTGTTTTACACACAGCTTGGGTTATAAGCGTGTGTGTGTGTGTGTGTGTGTGTGTGTGTGTGTGTGCGTGTAAAATTTAACACAGTATACAACACTTTCCAGTTGTTTCCCCTTCTGAACTTCTTTCAGCTCTTTTCTGTGCTTTTCATTGATAATCATTTCTTTTTTTCTTCTATCTTGCATCACTGATGGTTACCCACTTCTATTCCTGTACATTCCTCTCCTCCTCCAAAAATAAATAAAAGCTCTCTAATAATAAATTAATATAGTCAAGCAAAATAAATTCACCTATTGGATATGCCTGACAGTAAATGTCTCATTTTGTAACTCTAGTCCATCCCTTTTCTGCCAAGAAGTGGGAAGTATGCTTCATCACAGCTTTTAAATCTTTCCAAGTTTATTTTTAAAATGTTACAGTCATTTTATAAGTTATTCTCTAAATTTTGTTTTTTTGCTGTGAATCTGTTCCTTTAAGTCTTCTCAGGTTTCTCTAAATACATATCTTTCTTAATTTCTTATCACACAATAATATTCTATTATATTTTTATGCCATAATTTGTTCAACTATTCCCCAATTGATGGACATTAACTTCGTTTTTAGTTGTTTGCTATGAGAAAATGTACTACTATAAATATTTTTTAATATGTATCCTTTCCCTCTATCTTTGACCTTTTTGGGGTCCATGCCTGATAGTGGTATCAATGGATCAAAGGGTATGCAGAGTTTAGTGACTTTGCGGGTATATTCCAAAGTACTTTTAATAATGGTTAGAGTGATTCAAGATTCTACCACTTTCATCATCAACTATCAGTACCAAGTACTTATTAAGTTCTTATTATTTGCCAGACACTATGCTAAGTGCTAAAGATACAAAGAAGCTGGGGGAATGATTCCTCCCCTTAGAAAGTTCATATTCTAATGATGGAATCAGGATGCAAGCAACTATGTATATATACAATACATGTAATATAAATGGGAGATAATTTCAGGTACCTTTTAATAGGTGGGATTTAAGTTGAGTCTTGAAGGAAATCAGGAAGTACAAGTGAGGTGCGAGAGAATTTCAGGAATGGGGAACAACCACTGAAAATACATAGAGTTGGGAAATGAAGCACTATGTGTAAGGAACAGAAAAAAAAAGATGAATTCAGAGTACACAGAGTAAAATAAAAGAACGCTGAAGAGGTAGAAAGGGGCTAGGTTGTAAAGGGTTTTCAAAGCCAAGCAGAAGATTTTATATGTGATCCTGGAGGTGATGTGGAACCACTGGAATTTAATGAGTAGAGGACATGGTTGACACCTGAGCTTTAGGAGGGTTGATTAGGCAGCTGATTGGAGAAAGACTTGAGGCAGAATGACCAGCTAGAAAGTTATTAAAGTAATCCAGGTGTGAGGTGATGAGGGCCTGTAACCAAGGTGGAGGCTGTGTGAGTGGAGAGACGGATACTTAATAAGAGATATTCTGAAGGTAGAAATGAAAACTCTTGGTAAGAGATTAGATTTGTGAGGTGAGTGGGGAGTTGAAGATGACACTAAGATTGTGAACCTGGGCAACTGTAAGAATGGTAGTGTCCATGAGAGTAATAGGGAAGCTTGGGAGAGGGGAAAGGTTTGGGAGGAAAGATGATGAGTTCTATTTTGGGCACATTAAATTTGATATGTCTAAGGGATATTTAGTTTGAGATGTCCAATAGATACTTAGCTGGAGGTAAAAACAGTAACTGAATCTATGGGAGCTGACAAGTTAACCAAGTGAGGTAGTATAGAGGGAGAAGAGAAAAGAACAAAGGACAGATCCTTGAGAGACACCACAGTTAGTGGACGTGACCTGGATGAAGATGTAGCAAATAGGCCTGAGAAAAAGTGGTAATTCAAGTAGGAAAAGAACCAGGAGAGAGCTGTGTCATGAAAACCTAGAGGGAAGAGAGAGCCTAGGAGAAGAAAGGGATGAACAGCGTCAAAGGCTACAAAAAGGACAAGAAAGATGAGGACTATGAAAAGACCATTTGGTTTGGCAATTAAAAGATCATGAGCAGCTTTGGAAATAAGTTTCAGTTGAATGATAAGGCCAGAAGCCAATGCCTAAGTTCCTAGGGTTCTCTAAATGAAACATAGATATTCCTTGCCATATTCAGGAAAGGTCCAGTTGTTCTTAAATGTTTTAATGTTTTTAATGAAATATGATGTATTTAATTCAAAACCTTTTCTGTATCTCTTAATGTAGACATATGACATTTGTTATTAATATTGTCTACTATTTTTATCAGGATCAACTGACTTTTTACAATCTTACAGCCTGAAGAAGTTATAGCAGTCATAAAGGTCAACTGAACTTGGCTATAGCTTCTACCAGGAAAATTGATTGCTAGCTATGGTCACTGTGTGCTTTTCTTCCAGGGTCCTTCAGGCATCTTTCTTACAAAGCACAGAGTGATGTGTTTTAAAAAAAATAGAAATTTCTCTGTGTAAATTTAGGGAAATGGCCTAGGGTAAGGACTCCCTATTCTGCAAAATCTTCTAGGAAAGCTGGAAATCAGTTTGAGAGAAATTAGATTTAACTAACAGCTTACATGCTATTTCACAATAATCTCCTGAATGGACCCATGGGCTAAATACAAAAGGTTATATCATAAACAAATAAGAGAAGGAAAGGAGACAGCTTTTACAACTATGGCTAAAGGGAGAATTCTTAACTAAATAAGGACAAGAGGTGAGCAGAAAAGATAATACAAACAACTCCAATCTATAAAATTGAAAACCTTTTGCACAAGTAAGAGCAACAGAGTTAAAGGAAGAAGGAAAATATTTAATTGGAGAGAAAAATCTTTGCATCAAATCTCTCTAATAAAGATCTGATACCCAAGATATAAAGGGAAATTTTTTTTATCCTTGTTGTCCTTTCTGTAACCTTTGACACTGCCCACCACCCTCTTCTCTTGGATACTCTCTTCTCTCTAGGTTTTCACGACACTGCTCTCTCCTGGTTCTCTTTCTACCTGAATGACCACTGTTTTTCAGTCTCTTTTGCTAGATCTTCATCCAGGTCATACCCACTAATTGTGTGTGTCCCTCAAGGGTCTGTCCTTTGTTCTCTTCTCTTCTCCCTCTTTATTGTCTCATGTGGTGAACTTGTCAGATCTTATGGATTCAATTACTCTTTTCTAATGTCCAACCAAGTGCCTATTAGATATCTCAAACTGATTGAGAAGACTTATATGAACCCTATATACAAATATGCAAGAATAGGAGCCACTTCCCAATAGATAAGAAGCCAAATGAAAAGAAGAAATGCAATCAGATTCTTTTAAATGCTCCAAGTCACTGAAAATGAATGAAATGCAAATTAAAGCAACTCTATACATCAGATTGGCAAAGATGACAAAAAAGGAAAATGGCAATTTTTGGTAGGGCCGTGTGAGAGAACAAATACTAATGGATGGTAGGTAAAAATGTGAATTATTCCAATCATTCTTGGAAAGAATTTGGAACTAAACTCCCAGAGTCTCTAAACCATTTTTCACAGGGGTATCCCTGTCAGGCACAAACCACAAAGAAGTCAAAGACAGAGAAAAAGGACATCCACTTAACAAAAATATTTATAGCAGCATGTTTTGTGGTCACCAAGAACTGGGAACAAAGAAGGTGTCCATCAATTAGGGAAGGGCCAAATAAAATATGATATGAAAATGTAGTAGAATGTTATTTCACTGTAAGAAATGTTGACTATGACAGATTTTGAGACACCTGGGAAGACCTTTGTGAACTGATAAAGAATGAATTAAACAGAACCAGGAGAACAATTTACATGATGACCACAATAATATAAGCTGAAACAACCCTGAAAGCCTACAGAACAGTTCAATGCAGTCAACAATCATGACTTCAAAAACTGTTGATAAAGAATTCAAACCATCTCTTGGCACAGAGAGGCTGGACCAGAGTCATAGAACAAGACATGAATTTTCAGACATGGGCAATGAGTTGCCTTGTTTTGCTCGACTAATTTTGTTATTATTTGGTCATTTTTCTGTTGTGTTTGACTCTTCATGACCACATTTGGGGTTTTCTTAGCAGATACTGGAGTGGTTTGCCATTTCCTTCTCCACTCATTTTACAGAGGAGGAAACAGAAGCAAACGCGGTTAAGTGACTTGGCCAGGGTCACACAGCTAGTTAGTATCTGAGGACAGATTTGAACCCAGCAAGATGAGTCTTCTTAACTCCAGGCCCAGTGCTCTATTCACTGTGCCATCTAGCTGCTTGACTATAATATAGCAATTTGTTATAAGAGAAGGCTTCTATGAGTCAGGGGGAGTAGGCAGTGATAGAGATGCCAAAGAGAGTATCCGTAACATTTTTAAAAACAGAAGGAAACAAAAAGAAATTTATAAGGAGACACAAACAAATAGTGCAATTCTGCTATCACTAATGTGTCGTTTTATAGAAAGGATTTCTATAACAGAGAAGAGTCTTTTCTGCTAAACTTATTATAAAAACTACATAAGAGAAATAATATGTGATATCTTAATAATTATATAACAGAAATTAACAATATATACAATTGTCTTCTGTTCCTTAGATAGTAAAATATTCGTGTTTATTAATGATTGTTAAGTTCAAAAGAAAAAAAGAAAAAAATTTAAATGGGGAAAAAAAGGATTATGCCTAATATCATCTTATGGGAAATCTAGCGCAGTTTTCCCAAGTTCTGCTCCTGGAATTGGAGAATTAAAGCTTACTTGGTTACCTGTGATTTCAAAGACTTTCACTTTGACAGCTAAATGGAATCATCCAGAGATTTTTTTTCTTTTTTTTAACTCAAGCACCTGACCCAGAGAAAATGAGAGAGCTAGGGGAGTGTAATAGAATTATGTGTGTGTTATTTTGAAGGCAATGGTGTGAAATACCCGTTTCTGCTTCTGGACAAGCTGCTCCAGCTCCTGTTCCTTTGACACCAGCTTTTGCTCCAGCTCCTGACTCTGGCACTGAAATCTCTTCACATCCTGTCCAACCAAAAAAGGCGAAAATGAAATCCAGATACAGCCTGGTGAGAGATGTCCTGAGATTCAGAGTCAAAGAATCAGTCAGAGTTGGAAGGAACATTAAAGCCCACCTAGTCACAAGATTTTATATCTGGAGCTACAAGGAGGCTCAGAGACCTAGCCCCTCAGTTTAAAGATGAGGAAACTTGTGTCAAGGAGCTTTAAATGACTTGCCCAAAGTCTACAGGTAGAAAGTGTCAGAGGAAGGATTTGAACCCAGGTCCTCTCACTCCAGGCAGCTAGGTGGCACAGTGCATAGAGTGCCAGGCCTGGAGTCAGGAAGACTCATCTTCATGAGCTCAAATCTGGCCTCAGATACTTGTTAGCTGTGTGACCCTGGGCAAGTCACTTTACTGTATTTGTTTCAGTTTCCTCATCTGTAAAATGAGCTGGGGAAGGAAATGGCAAACCACCCCATTATCTTTGCCAAGAAAGCCCTAAATGGTGTCATGAAGAGTTGGACATGACAGAAAAAGGTTAAACAACAACCTCTCACTCCACAGTCAATATTTTTGCCACCCATGGTTCAACCCCTTCACTTGGCAAATGAGGCAAATTTAATTGCTAGGGTCACACAGCTAGTAAATGGCAAAATGAAACCATACATAACAAAACATAAACCATAACAACAATTGTTGTTGCATATCTATTCTGTCTGCCTAGCACTGTGCTAGGCATTGAAGGAAATAAAAAGTGTAGCTATAACACTTCCTACTTTCATAGAATTTACATTCTCCTAAGGAAGCAAGACGCCAAAATAGTTAGCTATACAGTCTTATGTTAGAAACTCATTAGTGCATCCGAACTCAGATCTCCTGACCACTAGCTTCCACTATACCAAGCCCTCCCAGCCTGGACCCACTCTGAAGACCTTGGGCAGATGCTGTGTGTCAAATCCTCCCCTTGAAGCAGACTTGGTTCTAAGCCTAACTCCTTCACTAATTCGGTATAACCTCGACTACATCATGAAATCTAAGTCTCAGTTTCCTCATCTGACAAATGGGAATAATAATGATATCTGTCCTATGTAGCTTACAGAAGTGTGACAGGATCATAAAGTTGTTGCTAGAAGAGGTCTTCGAGATTGTCTAAGGGGCAGCTAGGAGGCGCAGTGGGTAGAACACTGGACCTGGAATCAGGAGGACCTGAGTTCAAATCCAACTTCAGACATTTGACACTAGCTGTGTGACCCTGGGTAAAATATTTAACCCCAATTGCCTCGAGAGAAATTATCTACTCCAACACCTTTACTTTACAGATTAAAACTGAGGCCCAGGGAGTTCTAATGATTTCCCCAAGATTACACAGGAAGTATCAGAGGCAGGATCTAAACTCAGGTCCTTTGACTCCAGACTCCTTTGACTACGATCTCCATTGCAGTATACTGTTCCCTGGACTCCAAACCCAGCCCATTACACTGTACCATAGTCTCCTAGCCAAATGAAATAATATATGTGAGAACACTCTCCAAAGTATATAGCACTCTACAAATACAAGGTCTTTGTTATGCATGGGCCCCTATTCTAGGGAAGAGACATAGCAGTGAGCTCCTTGAGGCTAGGCACTTTCTTTTGCCTCTTTTTGTATTGCTAGTGGTTGCACAGTGCCTGCAACATTTTGTTGTTTAGTTGTTTCTGTTGTGTCTAAGTCTTCATGGCACCATCTTGGGTTTTCTTGGCAAAGATATTGGAATGGTTTGCCATTTCCTTCTCCAGCTCATTTTACAGATGAGGAAACTGAGGCAGACAGTTAAGTGACTTGCCTGAGGTCACACAGCTAATAAGTGTCTAAATCCAGATTTGAACTCAGGTCTTCCTGACTCCAGGTCTGGGTTCTATCCACTATACCACCTACCTGCCCCATCTGGCACATATAAATACAGGCACTTAATAAATGTTTATTGGCTGACAAAATCAGGTTTGCAACCTTAGAGTCATCCTTAATACTTCCCTCTTCCTTTGCCAATCAAATCTAAACATTAGAAAACAAATCTCATTGAAAGCAATGAGCATTTATTTTTTGTCCTTGCGTTTAAAATTTTACAATGGCGTCTTGCACCTATTCAATAATTACTTAGAAATGGTTGAATTGAAATGCCAGTTCTTGTCAACTTTATTGCTACTGCAGCTATCTGGTGCAGGAGATATAGTGATGGGTCTGACATCAGGAAGACCTGAGTTCATATCCTACTTCAGACACTTTTAGTCATGTGACCCTTTCGTCAACTGTAAAATGGGGATAATAATAGTATCTAGCTCCCAGAGTTGGTGTGAGGATAAGATGAGATGAAACCTGTAAAGCATCTGGCAAACCTTAAAGCACCTTCAGAATGCTGCATATTAGCTACAATATTTCTCCCACCTGCCCCTTATTCACTCACATGGCACTTATACTAATTCAGGCCCTTAACACCTTTTGTCTGGATTATTGAAAAAGAAAAACAAACAAACAAAAAACTCCAAACTGATCTCCTTCTTCCATTCTGTCACCTCTCCAATCCATCTCACCCAGAGCTACCAAAATAATCTTCCTAAGGAACAGGTCACTCCCTAGCTTGAAAGCCCAAAATGGCTCCTTACTGCCTCCCAGATAAGATATAAAGGTTTCAGCCTGGGATTTAAAGCCCTTCGTCAACTAGATCCAACCTGCCTTTCTGGCTATTTCATATTACTGCCTTCATATAGTATTTCAGGAAAATTAGCCAACTAGTTTTTCCCTCAATTCCTTTCCATCTCCCATCCTATCGTCTCTCATGCCTGGAATGTACTTGCTCCTTACCTTTTCCCCTTAGAATAGAATCCTTATTTCATTAAAGGTTCAAGTCACATGCCACTTTCTCTGTAGTCTTTCCTGAGCCCCCAGTTATTAGAGGACTCTCTTCTTCCTTAAGATATGGAACTTTACTTCTCTGTGTAGACATTGTATCTTCTCTTTGTATCTCGTCCTATACATGGTAAACTCTTTGGAAATAAGAATTATCCTGTTTTTTGTCTTTGGTGGTGCTAGCATGTGCCTTGCACAGATAGAGTAAGTATTTGATGTTTGTTTAACTGAACTGAATTTACATCAAACCTCAATCTGTCTTTTACAATTTTCACGGATTGCTACTCATTTTGCACTCTGGGGACAAAGAGAACAACTCAGATTTTTGTTTTAAATGACAGCCCTTCAAATACTCGAAGACAGCTATCATGTCCTGGAATTCTTCTCTTCTCCAGGCTAAACATACCCATTTCCTTTAACTGACTGTCATAGGCAGGGCCTTGAGGCACCTCATCGTCATACTCTCTTTTCGACATGTTCCAGCTTGTCAATATCCTTCTAGAAAACAAGACTGGGATAGCAGACCCAACATGGAGCTGAGCTAAAAAGCAATGACATTGAACTTGGGCGGACCATTCCAGCAGCAGACACTAATGTGCACCTCCTCCCTGTCCCCCCACCCCACCCTTTTAGGACAATGTCATTGTTTGGCATTCCCATGCTATGATTTCTTATAATAGTATGTACACAGGTTTTCCCACATTTTCCCAGCCAGGACTGTGGCTGAACCACAAATTCATAGGACCATTTTTTTTCCCCTCCCTGCAAACTCCCATGCTGCTTAAAGAAATAAGGGTTCTTTTTCCTCCTGTCTTCTCCCACTTCTTCCTGGAAAATAATCTCTCAGTTCAAGGAGAAAAAAAAAAAATAAGACTACAGGAACTTGAAAGTTAGCAGCAACAAAATATGGCACCTTTCCCTACCAACCTCCCCACCTCTACTCCCCCCTCACCCCTATTCCCCCTAAATCTATGCATGCTTATTACTGATGCTGCAGAATACACATCAGTAATCTCTGCTTGCATGAAAAAAGCATAACCACTCAATCCAGTCAGTTTCACAGATAGTGTGTTAAAAAGGAAATTGAGGGAGAGAGGGAGCTGGGAGGAGTTGGGGCTGAGTACTGTCAGGCTCTGATTATCTTAAATTATACTCATTTGTACTTTAATTTCTTTCTCCTTCCAAGGCCCTTTAGTCCTTGGAAGTTTGCCTTCAGTGCACAAGGGCCTATGTTTGACCAGGCAGATAGTACACATGAGTTACAGGCAATAACCCAGTGAACCATGGTTCCACAGTGGGTCTGCTCATTTGAGATAAAAGAAGAACAATGGAGTCTGCCAATAAGGATTACCAGTCCCAGAAGATCACTCTGCAGTGTCTGACAGGCATGAGAGTGTGGGGTTTGACTATGGCTTACTCATGCAGCCAAACTGATGGTCTGGGAGCAGACAAAGTTTTCTGGCTGTGTTTTGAAGCCTAGGGGTGGGTGGGGAGTAGAGAACTGTGCTGAAATACTGGCTTGCCTTCAGTGGTGCAGTTGGCCATGACTAGTCTTTTCTCATGGAGATTTAGGTTTCTTGGTGTAGTCACCAGAAGCATGATATAAGGAAAGGGCCTTTTTTTTTTTTTAAGATATAGATTTGGAATCAGAAGGCTTGGGTTTAAATCCCAACTCTAGGATTTACTATCTGTCTGATATGAGGCAAAAATAGCAATAATACTACTCTACCACTTACAATGTGTGATAGAAGGCACGCAATAATAATAGTTATTATAATAATTATAATAATAATAATAATAATAGTCAAGAGGTCAAATGGAACGATGACCTCATCGATATAGACATTTTCTCCAATGATGCAAGTCATAACGCATTGACACCTGCCTATCCTGAGTGACCTTGTCCGTGCTCTCCCCTAAATTCAACAAAGGAGGTCCACTGAATACATCGGAGGCCGTATGTGCTTTCTCCTGACATCAAAAGCATGCTGGTGGTACACCCAGCCCATCTACCTATAATCCCTTACCACGTGACTAGTCAATCTTTTCTAATCATACTTTTCCCTGATACAATTTACTCATATTTTTCTTTGAAGTTCTCTCATCGAACCTACATTGCAACTTGTTCATACACACCAGGTTTCTCTCTCACCCTTGGGGCAAGATTTCATAATAAGAGTGATAATAATAGCAGACATTATAAAGTGCTTTAAAGTTTGCAAAGTGACCTATATGCTATATGGCATTTGAACCTAACAATAGTCTTATGGAGTATGTTAAGAATACCAAGTATTATTACCCCCATTTTACAGATGAGGAAACTGAGGTTGAAAGCTTAAGTAATTTGTTCATGGTCACACAGTAAGGCTCAAAGGAGAGATTTAAACACAGGGGTTCCTAAATTAGTGTTTCAGTCATAGTTTCCTCAGGTGCAAAAGAAAGGCTTGGACTAGATGGTTTCTAATAATCTTTCCAGATCCAAATTTTATAATTCTAGTCCAGAAAGACAATGTGGTATATTGGTAAGAAAGGTGAAACTAAAGTTAGGAAATTTGGGTTCAAATCCTGGCCTGGCCACTTACTATCTAAGTAACCCCTGGCAAGTTAATTATATATTCTGAGTCTCAGGTTCTTCATTTATTTAGGAAAAAAACAAAACAAAATAACCTGTGCTCTTACAAGATTTTGCTTAGTAACCTTTAAAGTGCTATGAAAGTATGTTATCTTTGCTCATGAAGAAACAGGTTCTTCATAGCTCAGCTCAAGTACCATTTCAGATAGTAGGCTTTTCCTGATCTCCCTCATTGCTAGTGCCCTCACCCCAGATTTACTTTGTATATTTTCATATTTACTCATATTTGTAAATGTTATAGACAAAACTGTAAGCTTCCTGAAGGCAGGGATAATTTCTTCCTTCCTTCCTTCCTTCCTTCCTTCCTTCCTTCCTTCCTTCCTTCTTCCTTCCTGTCTTTTTTCTGTCTTTCTTTCTGTCTTTGTATTCCTAGGGCCTGGTACAAAGTAGGCATTTTGAAAATGTTTGATTCATTGGCAATCTGTAAAGGATAATAACAATTTTAAATCCCTAGTTTGGTCTTCTACGCTCAGCTACTTACCTTTAAGAGAAACTGTTCCTTCTCATTTTTTATCTGCTGCTCCATTTCCTCATAGAGATGCTGAACTTCTTCATCATATGTGGCAATTTTCCTAAACAGATGGTAAAAAGGGGTTTTTGACTAAATCTATACTGAGGTTACTGTCACTTTACATATATAACATATGTGATTTGGGAGACATAACTGATTTAGAAACAGGGAACATAATTGGTGAATGTAGGAGTTTTGTTTCAGTCGAGGGGGAAGCTCAATTCTAAATCAACAAAAAAGGCACTTATTATATAGTGATGCAAATTAGATATATACTTTTTTGGGGGGAGGAGGGGTCCTACCCTGTGATTTCTATCAGTTCTGGGAATTCCCAGTGCAGCAACTCCTTCTACCAATGAAAATATGCAAATTTTTGGACAACTTGCAGTTGAGTCAATAAACATTTATTAAACACTAGCAATCGGAATGGACACATAACATGTCCCCTGGGTACTCACCATTGCACGGCAATACTTTTATTCTTTCTTTCTTTATCACAATTTTTAAAGGTGGCTTCTTCTCTCCTCAAAATATTTTAGTCACTCCCCAACATTCTCCTCCTCACTCATCACATAACCTCACCTATTTTACTAAGAAAATGAAGGCCTCTATTGAGCTTCCCCACCATGCCAGCCTTGTTCACTTGGTTCAGCCCCTAACTCTCCAGGATACTTTTCACCTCCCCTCACCTTCAGTTTCCTTTTATGTGTTCTCTCTCCCCACCCCACCCCATTAGAATTAAGCTCTCTGAGGGCAAGAACTGTCTTTCTTCAGCCAGCAGTTATATTCCCAAATATGGGAATGTATGGGGTATATGGAATGTTCAGGAGGACTAGCAACTCTGGTATGAGGGCTTGCCCAGACCTTTTCAGGGCTATTTTTCACTTTGGGTGTTCACCGGATTCACCCAACTCTTACCTATGGCTCTGAGAAACTGTAGACTTTGTACAACTCTGCCTCACTTAAATCTAATTTATATGCAAATCAAGACATCACCCATGAAGTCATTGTTCCTCTTCAAAAACACAGGGCAAACAACAATTTGTATACCCAGCAATGCCTCTCCTCCTCTCCCTTCCCTATTCCTCCTCTCCTTTCTTCTCCTCTCTCTTGTTTCAGTCTCACTGTCTCTCTGTCTGTCTCTCTTCCCACTCTTTATCTCAAAATCCCTTCATCTACATCTTTACCCACCCTCTTCTTTTTCACTATAGTCTCTAAGGAATACATAGACCTTCTCCTGTCAAGGCTAATACTTCTGTTTGGAGTTTGCCTATTTGATCATTCTTTCTCTCCCTTCTCTAATCTTCAGTCTCTCCCTTCTACTTGCTTCTTCCCAGCTGCTTGCAAACATGCTCAGGTTTCTTCCATTATGAAAATTAGTACAATAATCTTCACTTGCCCCTGCCTACCCTTTTATTATCCTTTATCTCTATACCTTCTCTCTACCATGTTTCTAGAAAGAATTCTCTACTATTCCTGCCTTCACTTCCCCAACAGCCACTTATTTCTCCATGTTAGAAACAAGTTTATGAACCCACCACTTGACTACACTCTCCAAGGTTACTAACAATCTCTTACATGCTAACACCAATGACCTTTTCTCAGTCTTCATCCAACTTGACTCCTGTGCAGCTTTTGATACTGCTGACCATGATCTTCAATGTTCTAGCCTTTCTTGGCCTCCTAGATATGGTCTCTACTGAATCCACTTTTACCCATCTGATTCTTTTCAGCCTCCTTTTGGGCATCGTAATTAATCTCTCATGTTCTAAGAAAGGCTCCATCCTGGGTTATCATGTTTTTCTCTCTGGATTTTCTCCTTGGTGATCTTATAAACTGCCATAAGTACAATGATCATTTCTACAGAGATGGGGGAAAGGAAGGAGAATAAGCATTTATAAAGCCCCTACAATGTGACAGGTACTTTGCAAAGTGCTTTTTACAAACATTGTTTCATTTGATTCTCTATAACAACCCTGCAAAGTAGGTCCTATCATTATCCCCATTTTACAGTTGAGAAAATTGAGGCAAATAGAGGTTAAGTGACTTGTGTAAGGAATCACAGCTAGTAAGTGTCTGAGGCTAGATTTGAACTCAGGACTTCCTGTTCTTGGTTTAGCTCTTTATCTACTGCACTACCACCTGCCTCTCAGATGGCATATGTGTGTATGTGTATATGTATGTATGTAAATATATATATATATATATATATGTATATATGTATATGTATACACACATATGGAGAGAGATCTATATATCTATTTCTATCTCTGTATCTCTCTATTTCTACACTTGTTCTTCTTCTAAACATGCCCATTTCCACCAAGAGTACCAGAGCCCTCAAAGTGACCCAGGGTTGGAACACTGGAAGTATCTCTGACTCCTCCCTCATCCACCACATCTAATCAGTTGCCAAATCTTGATTCTACCTCTACAAAATCTCTTCCTTCAGTTTTTTTTCTCTCCGAACATAGTTCAGCCTTCTTCCACTTCTCACCTAGGTTGTTGCTATTACTCTTTCCCTTCCCATATACTAATAAAATAATCTTCCCAAGACATATATCTGATCACACTGTTCTCCTGCTCAAAAAAACTTCAGTGACTACCTTTTACCTTTAAGATAAAGTACATACACTCCTCAGCATGACCATCTAAAATCTTCCTTACTCTGGCTCCAACTGCTTTTTCTAATGCTATTTCAAATTACTTCTTTCTTCAAAATTTATGTACCAGACAAACTGCTAGACAAACTGATTTCCCAGAAATCAACATTCCATCACTTGCCTCCAGGTGGTTACACTTAGTTCCAGAACCCCCATCATGCATTTGTCCTCATCTCTGCCCCGTGGGATATTTATCTTTCTTTAAGTTTGGGCTCAGGTACCACTGCCACTGGAAAGCTCTCTCTAATCCCCTCCTATTTAAATAGAACTAATTCTTGTCCTCAAATTACTTGTAATATGCCCTTTGGTTGATTGTTAAGTCAATAAGAGTTTCATTTCCACATTTTTATTCTCAGCTTCTAGTACAGTGCCTTGCTCATAGTATACATTTAATAAGTGTTGAACTGAATTGTTTTCAGTCTAGCAATGTAGGATTCAGAATTAGTAAACAAATATTTGAAGATTTTAAAAAAGGAAAGATACAGTTTTTGCTTTATAAGATCAAAGCTTTTATCTAGGCACTGGAGATACAAAAACAAACATAGTCTCTGCTCTCAAAGAGCTTACATTTTACTGAGGTGATACAATATATTAAAAAAAATAAGTACAGAAAAAAGTAGTTTCTTCTTTTTTCCCTTTGTTCAAAATTTGTTTACATTTAACTAGATAATTCTAAACTGGGCATGAAAGCTATTTTCAGGGTAAATGGAAAGAAAATAACAGATGATGAGCCCAAGTCTCACAGAAGTAGACAAATTTTACTTGATGTTAATAAACATTTCAAAATATACCAATTTTTCCAAGTATTACAATCACTGTTCAAATCAAATAATAGTCCAAGTACTCTTTGAAGTGCATTTATTAAAACTCTAATGTTAGTGTGATATTGTTGGATGAACATAACTAGTTATCTTTCTAAGTCTTTGAAACACATCAAAGACACAAACGGGCGTCTTTGAAGAAGTTAAAGCATTTTTGGTTGAACATTCAGCACAAAAGATATCAACACATTGTTTACAATGATGCCATCTCACTGTGACTGAAAAGCCTTTCCCACAGGCCATACATTTCTCTACCTCATTATCATCAGCCCATTTTCTATTTCAAGAGGGAAAGAGCACTAATAATTATGAGATTCTAGAACCTGACCTTTGAAGGAAACTAAAGATTTCACAAAGTATACATGAGGACTGAGTGCACTCCAGATATGGGGATTTCAGCTGTGAAAAGGCATGAGAACAAGAGATAGAATGTTGTATGCACAGGGGACAACTATCAATCCAGGTAACACAAAGTACATAAAGGAAAGCAGTATAATAAAATGGGAAAGGTAGTTAGGAACCAGATTTTGGAGGGCTTTAAGCACCAAGCCAAGGATTTTGTATTTTAACTTAGAAGTAATAGGAGATCATTGAAGACTTTGGAGTAAAAGTATATGTGTTTTCACATAAGTTTGGCAGCTGCATAGAGGATGTACTCTGGAAGAGGGGCAGAGGAAAAAAGAAAAGTAATTTCTTCTCGAAAGCTGGTTTCTTCCTCCATGGCTGGCTTTCTTCTCATCTGTCAGAGAAGACTCTCTTCTCACAACTTGCTCCTGCTTTTTATGGTCACCAGGGGACATGGATAATTCTGTAGCCAATCAATTGCTAGCCCCATACAGTGGTATTGGAAGCACTTGGGAAAAGCAAAATTTTCATTTTGAAACAGAATTAGTCATGTGTATATGCTTCTGCTGCTACTAGAGTAATTCAGAACATAGGACCTTGACCAGATAAAACTGGATCAAGATAGCACCCACATCTTTAATTAGTTTTCTGTCAGGTGAGTGCAGGATTTCATGCTTTTTGCATGTGTTTCTATTTTTCATGTTTTTAATTCTTTGGTTTTTAAGAAACGATATTCAAGGAGACATTCAAAAAGTTGTAGCTCTTAAAAAGCATGCTTCAATAACTGTAACAGATACTGCAGCAGCTGTTGGTATGGAGAAGTAAAGCCTTTTAATGATCTTTCAAGCTACAATAAAGTAGAATAAGCCAAAGAAAAGTATGATAGGCAGCAAGAGCAATGACAAGAACTGAATAACTGTGACTTAGGAGAATCTAATTAATCCTCAGCAAACAACAATCTTCAGAGAGACCCAGCAGCTGGAAAGGGTGCTATTATTCCTTCATAGTGTTGCATTAGCTTCTTAAAGTTAGGATAAAATAAAGTCAAAATGGGTTCATGATTTAGATATAAAGGCTGATACCATAAGCAAACTGAGAGAGCAAGGAATAGTTTCCTATCAGATTTATGGAGAACTCCAAACAGGAGATAGAGAACATTACAAAATGCAAAATGGATAACTTTGATTACATTAAACTGAAAAGTTTTTGCAGAAATAAAGCCAATGCAACCAACATTAGAAGGAAAGTAGAAAATTGGGAAAGAATTTTTACAACCAGTATCTCTGATAAGGGCCTCATTTCCAAAATATATAGGGAATTAAGTCAAATTTATAAGAATACAAGCCATTCCTCAATAGATAAATGGTCAAAGGATATGAACAGGCAGTTCTCAGATGAAGAAATTAAAGCCATCTACAGTCACATGAATATGTGCTCTAAATCACTGTTGATTAGAGAAATGCAAATCAGAACAACTCTGAGGTACCACATCACACCTATCAGATTGGCCAACATGACGAAACAGGAAAATGATCAATGTTGGAGAAGATGTGGGAAAATTGGAACACTAATGCATTGTTGATGGAGTTGTGAAATGATCCAACCATTTTGGAGAGCAATTTGGAACTATGCCCAAAGGACTATAAAAACGTGTATACCCTTTGACCCAGCAAAAGCACTTCTAGGGCTGTATCTCAAAGACGTCATGAAAATGGGAAAAGGACCCACATGTACAAAAAAAAATTTCTAGCAGCTCTTTCTGTGGTAGCAAAGAGTTGGAAATTGAGAGGATGGCCATCAATTGGGGAATGGCTGAACAAGTTGTGATATATGAATGTAATGGAATACTATTGTGCTATAAGAAATGATGAGCAGGCAGACTTCAGAAAAACCTGGAGAGACTTGTATGAACTGATGCTGAGTGAAGTGAGCAGAACCAGAAGAATGTTGTACACAGTAACAACCATGTTGTGCGATGACTAATATTGATAGACTTAGCCCTTCTCAGCAATGCAAGGATCTAAGACATCTCCAAAAGCCTCATGATGGAGAATGCTATCCACATCCAAAGAAAGAATTATGGGGTTTGAATGCGGATCGAAGCATAGTATTTGCTCTTTTTTTCTTCCGTTGTGTTTTGTTTCCACTTTCTGGTGGTTGTGATTCTTACAACATCACTAATGTGAAAATATGTTTAATAGGAATGTACACGTATAGCCTATATCAGATTGCACACCATCTTAGGGAAGAATGTGGGAAGGGAGGGGGAGAAAAATTTAAAACTTAAAAGCTTATAGAAGTGAATGTTGATAAATCAAAATAAATTAATAAAAAAAGTTAGGATCACAAGAAAAATAGGGAAAGAGAGAGGGAAACCCACTATAAACCTTTGTTATGAAGAAAGAAGTGATTATCATAGTCAAGACAACAGAAAGACTGGAGTACTTAAGATGTTTAAAAAGGTAATAAATATTCAATGACACAAATCTTCATCAGTAGTACAGTGCTTTGTAAGTAGTATGTGCTTAATAAAGGTTTACTGATTTGAAGAGCTGAATGGAACACCGCCAATCTGACTTGTCCCATATTTTGTGTGGTCCATCTATGTGGCCTGATTCTAGTTCAGCTCCTCAGAAGACATGAGGTGTTATTTCAACTTGTTGAGTATGACTGTGTGTGCTTATATTTCCCTGGTTCTATCACCCCAAGGAAGTGGGGGGATCCTAAATAATCAGAAGAGGAGGAAGAGAAGAAAACATAAAAGATCTGAGGAGGGAGTGGAAGGAGGATGCTCTAAGTTGTCTCTCAAGCCCAATACCTTGGAGGTAGCCACGGCTATGGAACAATCAACTGGGTGCTACTACCAGATGATAGAGAGAATCTCTGTCTTTTTCTACTTGTCTCCACCAAGTCCATAAGCTGAATGTAATGCTATCTTATCTATTGTTGTTATTTATTCTTCTGTTCTCAAAGAGGAACAATGACATCACATGGGTGATGTCTTGAGTTTTGCATTAATTGGATTTAAGTGAGAAAGAGCTATGCATAGTCATCAGCCTCAAGGTAGCAAGACAGAAGTCAAGACAACTGGCAATGGGCCAGCTATCTTATCTAGAGAATGATTTTAAAACATTCTAGGATGCTTAGATGGAAGGCACAACAGAAAGACTGATGTATCTGTTCAGATAGAAGGCACAGAGAGAAATTGAGGTAGGATACTCACTTTTTCAGGGCACATTCCAGTTCATCCTTCTCCTTGTGGGCCTCCTGTAGCTGGCAGAATATTCTGGAGAGAAACTCTTCAAAGTTGGACAGCAAGTGAGGCTCATGCTTTTTTAGCTGCTCCCAAAGTTGCTTAACATCACTTTCACTGTTTTGTTTTTTTTTAAAAAAGGGGGGGGTTGAAGAATAATGTGATTATTGGGGTAATAGGTAAAGTCAAATCAATGAGGGCTATGGAGTTACTTCTGGGCCTAGCAACCAGCACCAATCTATTAATTCCCCAAAGTATCTCAGGACAATAGTTCCCAATACATAAAAGACGGAGAAGAGATTCCACACGTGTTTAGAGATGAGGGTTATGAAGCTTGGAAGAGAGAGCTCATCACTCCCACTCCTGGAAAAGGTTGGCATTTGATACTGAAAGTTAAAGGCAAACAGCTAGAAGAAAAGAAATCGCTCCTCCTTGCCCACCTCCCCAGTGGGAATTAGTGCAAAGGAGTGTGATTAACAGTAGAGAAGGGAAAAAACAAAGAAAGTTGAGACATATATAAAGGTACAAAGAGAGCCAGAAGAGATGAAAAATTTAATTGTATTTATTTGTTTCAAGGAAGAATTCCATGTGGGTGGGGAGGAGGGAATCATTGAGAAGTGTCAAAGTGTCAGTGTTATAACACATGTGCATTAGTAAAGCAGAAGGGAGCCCTGGAGGTATCAGAAGTCCTTAAGGATGAAATTCTGAAAACACAAAAGGAAATTTCTGATATGGGACGGAAAGGGCAGTTCTCCAAAATGACCAATGTCGATGACCAGAGAGGTCAAAAAACAAACTTCAGTATTTAAAAAAAGATATGTAGAGAAGATGGAGGCAAGAACAGATAAAGGAGGATGAACATAAATGCATGAGGCGGTCTTATACAAATAGGGTCAGAAATGCTAAAGTTCAGAATGTGCTTAAGCTAGCAAAGAAATCTAAGAATGACAAAGGTTTTTAAGCTCTACAGCAGGGGGTCCTGGAAGAAGAGATTGGCTTACTGCTAGGGAAGGATGAGACAACAAATTAAACGAGAGAGAAGGAAAGGATGAGACAATGATAAGAGGAAAACAGAGAAAAAAGGGATAAAACAGGACTATTTTTTTTTTGTCAGTTCTCTCTGACAAGGTAAATGATGTTAGGACTGGGAAGGCCAGAATAAAATGGTAACAGGGAACATCTAGTAATACTTGATGAGTTTAAGCTACCTGGCCCAAATAACATTCATTCCTGATTTTCTCATTAGTGACATGTAAAATATTTCTATTATCTCTCTCCCTGGGCCTTTATAGTCCAGAACATACATGACTATTGGAAAGATCTATAATTTGTACACTGTAGGAACTCTCTCCACCCATACATATCTTATGCATGTCAATGTGACTATGTATTATTAATTAGCTAGGGTATCTCAACCTTCATGGTAAGAAAAATATTTTGCCCATGGTTCCACTAAAGACTTCTGCCTCCCATGTGACATAGATCATCCATACGCCTTACATGTACTTTTCCTTAATTATACTTACATCCACTGGGTCTACTAACTTTCTCCTGAACACTTTCTTTTTCCCCTTTGTAGACTATGGATAGAGTTGGATGGTAGGGAAGATGATTAGAGAATTCTGCCTCTAAAGAGGCTTTGATTCTAATCTGTGCACTAGAATTAGTCTGAGGAGGTCAGTGGAAAGATCCAGTGGGAATTCAGTCACCAGCTTTTGTGCAATCTGGGGGCACCTATCTCCACATGCTGCCTTAATTCTCATGCTACCCATGTTCTGTAACGGGAGTTCACCCTAAAGCAGTGGTTCTTAGCCTGGGGTCCATTTTGATAAGTGCATTTTGATATAACTGGCTTCCTTTTTAGTCTCATGTATTTTATTTTATGCATTTAAAAATGTCATTCTGAGAAAGGGCCCACAGGTTTTACCAGACTACCAAAAAGGTCCACAATACATAAGAGTTTAAGAACCTCTGCCATAAAGGGACCTGAAACTCTCACAGTGTTTGTACTTAGAGGCCTCAGATCAAACTCATCAAATTCATATACCCTGACCCAATGGTGTTTCCCCTTAGTCTGAATAGCCATGCTACTCACCAATCACTCTCTTGCCCTAACTCACATCACAAATCACTCTAAGTCCACCACACCATTTTCTGTGTTCTTCACACTCCACTCCAGACCCACTCCATCACAAGCACCCAGGGGTGAGCCTCCAAACATACCTGCTCCAACCAGCATCAATGGAATATTCTCAAGCTCCTTTAAATGCCTGTGATTAGCTAATTACTGCAAATAACTGCAGGCAGTCTTCGACTAAGGTATACCACTGTTGCCCTCTCAGCATCAATCATACCACACTATAAGCCTGTTTTCCTATTCATTCATTCATTCATTCATAGTACCAATTATGTACAATATTAACCACTAGTCAGAAAGATGAATAAATAGCACAGTAACTGTCCTCAAGGAAATAAAACATATAAACAGATATATAAGATGAATTAGGATATGAAAAGCACAGAATGCTATGAAATTCGATGAAGGAGAAATCACTAGCTACTTAGGGAAAGGGAGAAATAAAGACATCTTCATGGAGGAGACAAAATTTGAGACGACCTTGAAGGATTTCTGTTCTTGATGGAGATGGGGATAGCTAGTCACCAGTGTCTATAGATTGACTTTTCATTGACCTTCCCTATAGCTTTCTCTTAACTGAGACAAACCCTTTGGGTGGTGTTTTTCTTCCAGTCCTCTGGCATCAGGACCCAGAGAAACACTTCAGGATTTCTACCTTGCAAGTGTACAGGTAGGCAACTACCAGGACAGCTTGGGAATGTTCCTTCTTTCCAAGAAAACCTCTCCATCAGTAGATGTGTGAAAGCAGGGAGGCAAAAGCTATTTCCCTTAACCCTCACAGAAGCATCAGCTTCCATCCTATTTGAAGTTGCCTGTAGGTAGCTTGTAAAAAAGGACTTAGATACCTAAGTCACTGTATCCTAAAACATCCCTTATAATGTATCTGCAGAGCTTAATGAATTCATAGGATGGAGAAAAAGAGAGTCAGCTGAGATATTTTTGTGGCAGAGTAGTGTAACTCTGAGGAATCTGGTTACCTGAGTGGGCTGTTCCTATGCATCTCTGCTTGTGTCCCACTGTGTTTGTTATGTGTATCCCTAGGGAAAGTCTCATGTGCCAAGTTCTAACCATAAGCTGCCTGAGGTATTAAGGTCATAGAACCGAGCAAAAGGCTGGGCAATGACTGCTCTTTTGCAAGACCAACACAGATCTGCACCCAGGATCTGCCCAAGGGCAGCCTCCTCCGTGTTCTCTCAGGTGTTTCTGTGACAGAGGTTAAAGTATCCTCTCTGGAGAAGTCTTCAAAGAAAAGCAGTGCTCTGTCACTAGGATTTGGCCCCATTTTTGCTAAGAAGCTGATTTAGGTGACAAATTTTCTGAATGCTCCCTCCCTGTGGCTGCCAGCTGCTATCTTCTCCTAAGACCCATCCATTCTTGCAGCTGAGCTATTACTGCAACAATCACAGCCATAAAATTCTCTTGCAGAATTCTGCTCATCGTCTGGTACACAGTTTCACTGGCCTCTCTTGACCCTGGTACAACCCTGCAAGTCATCTTCTAAAGATCATTAAGCCACAAACACTCTATCTGGGCTGACAAACTGTGTACTAGTTCCACTGATATGCCCCCTCACACCCTAATCTAGCCATCTGCATCTCCTTCTACGATTACCCTTTTCCCCAAGCTCTGAAAGTGTCAGCCCTTATCTGCAGGGTCCTCCCACTTAGACAAGATATTGAACCTGATACAGTAGATACAGGACCTAAAAACAATAAGAAGATAAAGATTATACATAATTTATTTTAGGGTAAGACCAGTTTCTATTATTCCCAACCTAATGCTTAATTTCATTTTTTCTCTTGATCAAGAGAACTTTATGGAAGAAATGGAGTGTGTCTAGAGCTGTGTGTTTGGTTTGAAAGCCTGGATACCTAAAAAGATTGGTCTGCCAACCGATAAATAACTGATACAAATTAAAATAACCGATATAAATAACTAGCTTATAGATTATGCCTAGCCTAATTTTCTGCCTCAATATGCTATGAAAAAGGTCCAGGTTTTTCACACTGCTCCTTTCTAGTTAAATGAGCCTGGACAAGTCAATTCTCTGGGCCAATTTCTTCATTTGCAATGAGAAAATTTTCTTAAACATTTACTTTGATTTTTAAGCCATTCAAATTATGATCAAATATACCAGACAACAAACCCAAGTGGTTTTCTGTGATTACTGAATGCACAGAGAGATAAAAGAAGAGGGGAGCCTATTTCTTAAAGAAATGGGAGACTTTTTTTCCTCAGAAAAGCTGGGCCAAGCACAATTATACCGAGAGTCTTACGGGCTTCATATATGCATTGCAGAAGTACTGGAGACCAATGAAGATATTTTCTCAGGTAGTGAGATGGTAAGGAAAAAAGAGACTGAAAAAATGCTTCATGCTGACAGCACTGTGTCTCTTGTGGCTACTGTCAGTGTGGCCAGGTATGAAAGGAAAGCCTGGTCTCAGGGGGTGAGGAGGGACTAAAGCAGAAAGGGGAATGAGGACTTCAGGTAGGTACTACTGGTCTGAGCTAAAGGCCTAGCTGCATGTAGTGTATAGAAATAAGAACCAATGGTTGTGAAACTGATAGAATAACAGGCCCTGGGAAAGAAAAAGTTAGGGAGAGGTTGATCCCAATAAATTCTTACTAAAAATGAATAGGAATGGACAAGATTTTTTTTTCTGTGAAGAAAAAGGGTGGGGGTTTCTGTACTATCAGGAAAAAGATGGAGGTAGCAGCTAGGTGATGTAGTAGATAGAATGCTGGGCCTGGATTCAGGAAGACTTGAGTTCAAATCTGACCTCAGATAGCTACCAGCTGTGTGATCCTGGGCAAGTCACTTAAATGCTGTTTGTCTCAGTTTCCTCAACTGTAAAATGGGGGTATTAATAGCACCTTCCTCCCAGAGTTGTTTTGAGGATTAAATAAGATAATATTTGCAAAATGCACTTAGTGCATCATAGGGCACACAGTAGGCATTATATTGCTTATTCTCTTTCCTTCTCTCCCTAGTAGAAAGAATACCAGCTGTGGAGCTGGAGAACCTGGGTTTGAATCTCAGCTTTACTGGTTAAGGTCTGCATGACCCTGAAAAATCCTTTTATTTGCATAGATCTCAACTTCCTCCTCCATAAAATAAAGAAGGTTGGAACGGACCACCTCTATGTGCCCTTTCAATTTTAAATCGTATTATTCAATGAGAAGGTCAAGGTATGGAGATGGAGAAGGTTACTTATGTAGCACCCCTTCAGGATCACGCAGTCAACTTATGCTCACTCTTGTGGGTTGAATCCCAAGAGCACAGCATCTATTTTGGGTTCAATGTATAAATCTATGGAACTGTACTCTTAACACTATAGTTAACAATCAGCCCACCCCAGGTCCCAACACCAATGATACAGGGGCCCAAAGCGGTTGCCGCTGCCTCAGAGGACTTACTCTTCTAAAATTTTCTGCGCTCCGAGTTTATCCATCAGTATGTGGAATTGGTCTTCCTCGTGTTCATTCCTGTTGTCAATCACCTCTTCACACCTGGATTGATAGATTTTCTCCTCCTGGGGCTGGGCCCCCTGTTCATCAGATTTATAGTTATTTTGGCTAAAGAAGAAATGACCTAGGGATCAAAGTAAATAGAACAATTTAAAAATTGTAAGGGAGTTTCTCCCTCCTCCTCATCTCAGTTGATGTACTGACTGTAGAGATGTATCTATGCCCTTTTCTTGTTAGGAAGTGCAAACACCTCTTCAATTCATTCAAGATGGAAATGACTCAGTTGGCAAACAAATTAGCTGTGCTTCTAAATGCTTTATCTAAACCTTGAAACAGTGGAGACGTTGTAAAATGGGAGTTGATTATTAAAGAGACCTCTGTAGGGAGGGGGGAAGGGGGGAGATTTCTCTATCTCCCTATCCCCTCCCTGTATCAGCTATATGGCTTCAAAGATGAGTTACTGGACAAGTAGGAGACATTGCATCCAGTAGGGAATAGAAGCACACTCTAGACACGTGGGGATACACAGACAATCAAGAAGTTAGTCTCTGGCAGCACAAAATAGAGTGAGACTATGGAGGGGAGTTGACAATGCGAACCTAGCCAAGGAACCCACCCAACAAAGATGGTGTACCCAAAGCAAGCTGCGCGAAGATTTTTATGATGAGAGAAGGGAGTTCCAGGCTTTGCAGCACCAGGAGATGTGAGTGGCCTATGTCACACATGTAAAATATATGCGTCTCACTGCATTTCTGCTCTTAAGTTTGAACCCACTGCTTCCATGGATACTATGTGTATTTGTGGGATAGTGCACCCCAAATCTGTGGGGAAAATGTTTTGTAATTACAATTATTCCTATGTCTCTCGAGTAAATGACTTTGCTAAGTAAGAGGTAATTAAGTCTACGGGCTGATTGTTAACTATAGTGTTAAGAGTACAGTTCTGTAGATTTATACATTGAACCCAAAATAGATGGTGTCCTCTGGGGATTCAACCCACAGGTATGATTGTTAGGTGAGGGAGTGATGCTGAAGGACTGCTACATAATATTTCACCTCCAGAGTGTTTCCGATTTGTCTAGTTACTAGTAGTCCTTTGTAGGCTGGAGTAGGAATAAAAGAATAGATCAAAGTCAGAATTTAAGTACCATATTTCAAATGTCTTGTCCCTTTCTCTTTATTACTTCTATCTGAAAGACACTTTTGCTACAGTGGAGATACAATGCATTCTAATGATAATAAGAATAGCAGCATCTCATATATATGTAACACCTTGAGGTTGCAAGAAGTTTTATGAGGAAAACCTCATAACAACCCTGTGGGGTAGATAAAAGAAGTGCTAACATCACCACTTGAAAGATACTGAGGAAGCTTGCAGATATTAAGTAGCCTGCCCACATTCCTACAATTAGGAACTAACTGTCAGAGCTTGGACCCACAGAATCACAGTATTAGAGTCAGAAGAAACATTACAAGCTATTGAGTCTTGGCTTCAGCTAAACAAAAAGCCCTCTATAATATACTTGACAAATGGTCATTCTATTTGGCAAAAGAACTCTAGTGAAGGCGAATGCTCTATTGCCCATTCCACTTTTGGAGAGCTCCAATAGCCTGGGTTTTGTTGTTGTTGTTGTTTTTGTTTGTTGTTTTGTTTTGTTTTGAAAACTACATCTTCTGATTTGAGTCCATTTCTCCTTTTTGAAAAAACCCAATTTTATTTTAATTTCCAAATTCTCTCCCTCCACCTGCTTCTCTCTCATCCATTGAAAAGGCAAGAAAAACGAGACCCGTTACAAATATGTATAGTCATGCGAAACAAATTTCTGGCTTAGCCATGTCAAGAAAGAAAGGAAAGAAAGAAAGAAAGAAAGAAAGAAAGAAAGAAAGAAAGAAAGAAAGAAAGAAAGAAAGAAAGAAAGAAAGAAAGAAAGAAAGAAAGAAAGAAAGAAAGAAAGGAAGGAAGGAAGAAAGAAAAAGAAAGGAAGGAAGGAAGAAAAAAGAAAGAGAAGAAAACATGCTTCAATCAGCATTATGAGTCTGTCACTTCTCTAACTGGAGGTGGATAGCATGTTTCATCATGAGTCATTTGGAATTTTGCTTGGTCATTGTGTTGATCAGAGTTACTAAGTCTTTCAGAGTTGATTATCTAACAATATTGCCATTACTATATAAATTGTTCTCTTGGTTCTGCTCACTTCACTTTGCATCATTTCATACAAGTCTTCCTAGGTTTTTCCAAAACAATCCCTTTCATCATTTCTTATAGCACAGTAGTATTCCACTGCAACCACATATACCACAACTTGTTCAGCCATCATCATTTGATGAGCATCCCCTTGGTTTCCAATGTTTTGCTACAACAAAAAGAGCTGCTATAAATATTTTTGCACCAAGAGTCCTTTTCCCTTTCTTTATTTTCCTTAGGATATATACCTAGTACCAGTAATACAAGGTCAAAGGGTATGAGCAGCTTAATATATTTTTGGGCATAGTTCCAAATTGCTTTCCAGAATCGTTAGACTAGTTCACAGCTCCACCAACAGTGTATCGATGTACCTGTTTTTCCATAGCTCCTCTAGCACTGGTCACTTTCCTTTTTGCTGTCTTAGCCAATCAGATGAATGTGAGGTGGTACATCTCAGAGTTTTATGAAATTTGCATTTCTCTAATTATTAGTGATTTAGGGCATGTTTTCATATGACTATTGATGGTTTGATTTCTTCCTCTGAAAATTGCCTATTCATATCCTTCGGTCATTTGTCATATGGGGATTAAAAGTCCATTATTCCTAATACATGCATGTTACCTCCTCTCACAGAGATTATAATATGATATGGGAGATAAGACATATCCATGATAACACATATTAATTCTATCTGTAATGCAAGGCAGAACATGATACTACTATAAGAAAGATATAAGGTGCTGTGTAGTTGCTTAAGAAAGAAAAAAAATAATTTTAGTAATGATGATGATAATGATAAACATGTATATAGTGCCTACTATGGGCCAGCATTGTGCTAAGCCCTTTACAAATTATATCTCATTTGATCCTCACAACAACCCTGGGAGGTAGGGGCTGTTAATATCCCTATTTTACAGATAAGACAATGAGGGAAACTGAAGTTAAGAGACTTGTCCGGGGTCACACAGCTAGTAAGTCATCTGAAGCTGGATTTGAATTCAAGACTTACTGACTCCAGGCACAGCACTGCCACCTGGCTGCCCCAACATTTATTTTTGCATTTGTCCCGTGGACTTTGGGGCAGGGGAAAGAATTCTGACCTGGCAGTGAGAAAGTCTGGGTTTCAGACTGACACTGACTATCTATTTAAATGTGGACAAATTATTCAGCCTTTCTAGGCTTCAGTTTCTTCCTCTGTAAATTGAGGGATATAGACAGATTATGTCTAAGGTTCTTTCAAGCTTTTGATATCCTGTGACTCTTTAGATAACTATATTCAGTTACATATGGTGAGGTGATCACTCCTATACACTCTGCCCAATGTTTGCTTTTTATTATTTTATTTAATTAATTAATTTATTTGATTATTTATTTATTTTTAGGCAATTGGGATTAAGTGATTTGCCCAGGGTCACAAAGCTAGTAAGTGTCAAGTGTTTGGTTTGAGGCCAGATTTGAACTCAGGTCCTCCTGACTTCAGGGCTGGTGTGCTATCCACTGCACCACCTAGCTGCCCCTACATTCTGCCCAATGGTCTGGAATCACGGGAATTTGCCCATCCTGTTTGGTATACATTGTACCATTCTGACTTTTGTGGATCAGATCTGCTTTGTGGATTTTCTGTGCATGTTAAGTCTCTCACTCTAAGAATCCCTTAACCATACAAATCCCTAGAACTCACTCCAATCTTTCTGTCATGGTCTTGGTTCTAAAAAACAACTCTCCTTTAACAGTGTATTTTTACAATAACAACAACAAAAAAGTAGAATTAAAATCAGAAGGCCTATACTTGCCTATACTTGCTTTGACCTTATTAGTTCTAAGGCTGTGGGCAAATCATTTAAACCTTCTGAGACCCAGTTTCTTCATCTGTAAAACAGCAATGATAAAAATTCATCGTACTCACTTCATAAGGTTGAGAGGAAAATGTCGCATCAACTTGAAAGTATAAAGTATTAATTAAATATGTTATTGTTAGTTGTAAAATGATGATTGCTGTTCAGTCACATCCAATTCTTTGTAACCCAGTTAGGAGTTTCTTGGAAGAGATACTGGAGTGGTTTGCATTTCTCTCTACAACTCATTTTACAGATGAGGAAACTGAGGCAAATATGGTTAAGTGACTTGCCCAGGGTCACACAGCTAGTGTTGTGGCCACATGTGAACTCAGGTCTTCCCAACTTCAAGCTTGATGCTCTTGGTACACCGTATAGAGTGCTGGGCCTGGAGGTAGAAAGTCTCATCTTCCTGAATTCAAATCTGGCCTCAGACATGTATAAACTATATGACGCTGGGCAAGTCACCTGACCCTGTTAGCTTCAGTTTCTTTAACTACAAAATGAGCTACATAAGGAAATGGTAAACCACTCCAATATCTCTGCCAAGAAAACCCGAAATGGGGTCACAAAGAGTTGGACATGACTGAAACAATTGAACAACAACAAAACATGATGGTATGATTTCCTAAGCATGATTCTCCACTCTCAGCTAAACTGCAGCTGGGTGAACTGTTCACCTTACCTATTCTCCATCGTCTCAGATAGAGGGAAGCAGTGGAATGTGGACACTTCAATTACGGAATCGCAGAGCTGTCAAGGACCCCAGGGACCATCTAGTTTGAACTCATGCCCTCTACACTGTCCCAAACAAATGGTTATAAACCCATATAGAATAGCTTATTTGAACACCTCTAGTGAGGAGGCACTGCCTCCTTCTCCAGAAGCCCATTCTTCCCAGGGCAATTCTTATTGTTAGGAAATTTTACCTTACATGTAACTCCCTCAACATCCATTCATCACCGCTCCTAGTTTTATTCTCTAGGACCAAAGTACACTCCCTTCCACATAACAGCAGATACTTGAAGACAGATACTATGTCTCCTATACGTTTTCTCTTCCAGCTATTTCATTTTCATTTCCTTCAAACATTCATCCTATGGACCTGAAGCCATTTGCTTTCCTTGTCATTCTCTAGACATGCTACTGATGTGTTTCCTAAAATATGGCTCCCTGAATGAATGCAGCTCTCCCAGACCCGGGCGCGATGCTACAGATTTAGCCTGAGCAGATAAGATTACAGCAGAATTATTCCCTCCCTAGCCAGTGCCTCTATTCATTCACTCTAAGATTACATTAGTTTTTTTGGTGGCCATGTCACACTACTAATTCAAATTCAACTTGAAATCTGCTTAAACCCCCAGTTCACACAAAGTATTGTCTAACCATACTTCTTCCATCTTCTACTGTACAGTAGATGACAGTACAAGTATGTCTTTCCTTATCTCCACCTCCTACTTCTTTCAAGTCCCAGCTAAAATCTTACCTTCTATAGGAAGCCTTTCCTGATGCCCCTTAATTCTAGTGCCTTCCTTCTGTTAATCATGTCCAATTTATACTGCATATGTCTTCCTTGTACATAGTTATTTACATGTTGTCTGTCACCTTAGACCGTGGGCTCTTGGAAAGTAGGAAATATCTTTTACCTTTCTTTGCATCTTCAGGGCTTAGCACAGTACCTGGCATAAAATAGGTAATAATAAATGTTTATTGACTGACGACATGTATAGCTATTAAATTTGCTCCATCTTTCTAGTCTGCTGAGATCCTTTTGAATCCTTACTTTGTAATATAATAGATCAGTTATTCCTCCCAGTTTTGTGCCACTTGTAAATTTGATAATCCTTCCATCCATGTACCGGAAGTTCAGGTTGGGGACCAGGCTCTAAACAGCTGAAAGAATCAGGGAAGATTTCATTGAGGAGGTGGTGACTCAGTGGGCCCTTGAAAGATGGGTAGCAATGAATGAGCAAGAGGAACAAGAAAAGTGAAAGAACCTAAAGAAACCACAACCTTGGTCCATGAGCCCCTGAATCACTGGGCAGGAATATGAGTCATGAGTTATTCTTCACCTTTCTTAAGTTCTCATTCTTCCCACAAGTTGAGAGAATCTACAGATAGATATGTGAATTGAGGACTCACTGAATCCATTGTTGAACTCCTCTGGAGTCAGGAAGCCATTGCCATCAGCATCCAGGGTATCAAACACATCCTCCAGATCCTCCAAGCTGAGAGGCAACTCATTGTGAAGCCGCTGAAAGCAATGAAAACTGTGTTTGTTACAGGGAAGAACACATCTACTGGGGCTGACCAGGAAGAGTCTTAAGGGTCCACTACCAATTGGCCTAAACTTTAGCAGATTTCATACCACATGCCAGAAACTACTTCCTTCTTAGAGATAGTTAGACCTATAGCCTATTTGCCTTTCTTTTGTATCCCTAGGACTTAGCCCCATACGTGACACCATCATAAATGCTTGACATTTATAGTGAACTGATAATTAAAGCTAGAAAAGGCCAAATCCCAATCTAAACCCCTCATTTTGATGATGAAGAATCTGGAGTCCAGAGCAATAAATAATGTGTACAAGGTCAAGCAGATAGTCAAGGAAAGAGTTGGGACTCCAACCCTCCTGGAATCCTGATTCTCAATGCATTGTTCTTTCTTAATTCCACACTTGAAGGTCAGTTCTTGGAAGTCCTTTTTGATGAAGGCTTTTGGCTCCTCCTCATGCTCTAATGATAGTTTTTGCTTTAGAAGTAGCATGAAAGATAACATCAGTCTTTTAGGATAAGAAAAGGGAAGTGTGCCAGCCATGTAACAAGAATGACAGACAAAATAGGGGGAACCTAACTGCTACAAAGGTGTCTCCAACAAATTCAAAGAACCGTAAAGGGGGACTCCAGTATACTGGATGGATCTTCTATTGGGGATTTTTAAAAAGACATGGACAAGAATCACATAGTATGAAAAGACATAGTTGAGATGCCATCTGGACTGGTGGGCACCCACACTCATGAAATCACAGAGCCTCCTAGGGATAGATAAAAGAAGGCAAGGTCATTTACTGGAGGGGAGGTGGTAGAGTTACAAGTTACGATCAGAGGAGAAAAGTTTTGTTATTGTTGAGAGGGCAAATGTGATAGGAAGCAAATAAAAGGAATGTTATGCAGAGCTTGGGGTCTAGGTGAGAGCAGCACAAATTTATAGTGGACTAATCAATCATCACAGTTTATTGACTTCTAGCAGTTTTTAGCTGTTTCAGAATAATTTTGGGAAAATAGATGGAAGGTTTGGGGGTTGGTAGTATGGAAATTGTTTGGGAAAGAACAATGTTTAAATGGCTGATAGTGAGTCAAGACTGGGCAGCAAGGGAAACTAAACTCAAACAGAGGTGATGAACTGAGAAAAAAGGTAGGAACTATGAGTAGAGAGCATGACAAGGGTGAAGTACAGATAAGCCTTTGAAGTAGACTCAAATTAGAAATTCATCAGTTGGGGAATGGTTACCTAAACTTTGTTTCACAAATATAACAGACTCTTGCTATGCTGTAAGAAGTTACCAATATGAAAAATTCAGAGCAACAAGGGAATAAAAAGTGAATGATGAGATGGCAATATGGCATACTGGAAGAAATGTGGGCTCAGGAGTCAGATGACCTAGATTTCTACCCTGGCTTTACTTACTGCCTATATAAGTGACCTGGGGCAAGCTACTTCCTTCTAAGTCTTAGCATCTTCAAAAATAAGATGAAGTATATTGGGTGAGATGACTCTGAGGACTCATTCAAGCTCTAAATCCCATAATGCAAGTTGACTAGGTCTTATTCACCAGTATGACATTCTCCCAAGGCTCGCCCATTTAGAGTCTCCTATTTACTGTCCCCCCTTAATGTTTCTCTTCCCTTGCACCAGGAAACACCTCTTCTATGAAAATTCCTCAGACTAACTCCATTAGAATCCAGGCACCCACATAATTCCAGGTCCTCACAACATTTGCATTTATCTCTCTGTACAACTTATAATTTACATTTATATTGAACTAGGCCACGCTATTGTAGCCTAGAGTCCAAGTTGCCAGGAGAGAGAATTTTGAGTGGCTCAGGTCTTCTACATAGTTTTTGTCTACTTATGTTAATTCTTCTCAGAGAAAAAGTCCTCCATCTACTCTCCCTCTGCTTCCTTTTCCAAGTCTCTCCTCCTCCTCCAGTCCCTTCTATCCCACTGGCTTCATAATCACTGGGAACAGCTGGGAAAGGAAGGAATTTGTCTTTGTGACCATCCTTCTCTCCCCTCTCCCACATTGCTCTCTTCTCTCCTCTCTTAGGTGTTAAATGACAGAAGCATAAATGCTGGAGCATTTATGAGATTATCTAGTACAACCCACATCCAAATCAAATTAGGAAAATTAAGGGAAAGTGACTTTCCCCAGACCACACGGTGGCTGATCGGGGACCAGAATTCAAGTATTCTGAATTTAAGACCAATTCTGTTAAACTAGCATATAAACTATATGGCTGTAATTAAAGTGTGAGCTGAAATTGAGGAATTACAATGAGAAATTTAACCACCAGATGGTATCACTAGTTACTAACATGACTTTACTCATCCAGAAGGACCAAGTCCTGGGAAGTCCCAAGTTCCACCAGCTTCTAGCAGGATTTCTTCACCCTTGGTCCATAAACTAGACAGATTTCAGGGGGTTTTCAAACTTACATCTTTATTTTCACTAACAGTGAACTGAAACCTAGCATTTCCTTCCATTATGAATGCAGGCAAACAAACATGCCAAGAAGAGGTCCCTAGTCTCCGCCAGAATAGCAAAGGGGTACAGGACATCAAAAAAGATTCAGAAGCTGTGTTCTGGAGGGAGTCCTGAGAGACAGCCAGACTCTCCAGAGTACTCAGGGTATAGGGTCCTTGTCCCTCAGTTCCGTCTCTCTCCTGGACAGTTGTCCTCATCTCAGCCTATTTGTATGGATTCATTCAATCAAAGATCACAGAATCATATATTTAGATTTTGAGCCAGGAAGGACCTTGAGGTGGTCTAGTCCAAATGACTTGCCCGAGGTTACATGGGTAAGTGGAAGAGCTGGGATTAAAACAAGGTCTTCTCATTTTAAATGTAGCATTCTTTATGGGGGCAGTTCGACGGCACAATGGATTGAGTGCTGGGTTTGAAGTCAGGAAGACTCACCTTCCTGAGTTTAAATCTGGCCTCAGAAACTTACTAACTGTGTGACTCTAGGTAAGTCACTTAACCCTGTTTGCCTCAGTTCCCCATCCATAAAATGAGCTGGAAAAGGAGATGACAAACCACTACAGTACCTATGCCAAGAAAACCCCAAATGGGAACACACAGAGTCGGACATGACTGAAACAAATGAACAAGAACAATAATAGTGGAACAATGGGGTGCAGGCAAGAGTGTTCAGACACAAATTTCTGTCTGACTTCCTTCTTACCTATCTGTTCTCCAACTTCCCCATCTCCCTTCCCTTTGATGAGGAAGTTCCAGGGATTGGCCAAAAGGGAAAAACCAAAAAGCTAGAAGGATGGACACTGGAATATTTTCATTTGAATGGTTGTGGAAGGCTGGCCATGGAGGAATAAACAAAGATTTGGCTCACTGTTTTAGAATGGCTGTTAGCTCCTGTCCAAATTGTTGGAATCTCCTCATGTGGGGTCTAGCTAAAGGGACAGAGGGCAAAGCAGCAGAGCCCTTGGTTTGCTGCCTGATTTTCTTTTTTCTTTTTTTTTTCAGGCAATTGGGGTTAAGTGACTTGCCCAGGGTCACACAGCTAGTAAGTGTCAAGTATTTGTTTTGAGGCTGGATTTGAACTCAGGTCCTCCTGACTTCAGAGCCGGTGGTCTATCCACTGCATCACCTAGCTGCCCCTCTGATTTTCTTATTCCTAGGCAGAGCTGGGTAGATTTGTACAGCCAAAACAGAAGCCACTGACCAGGCAATTTGGTGAAGTGGAAAGAGAACTGGGTTTTGGGTCAGGTACCCTGGGTTTTAATCCTGCCATTGAATAGCTAGAGCTTCCTCATCTGTAAGATGAGGACTAGAAGATTTCTAAGGTTCCCTCTGGCTCTCAGTCACATGAAACTAATTATACCTATGAATCTATTAGTCTCCAAACGGGCTCAAACAAGCTTGGTGTCATAACATTCTTCTATTTGGAAGAGGAATTTCTTCCCACAAAGTTCTTTACTCAAACCCATTCCTCACCCAAAGGCATAGGGGAAGCCTATACTTTTCCCACAGATACTGAAAGTGACTTATGATGCTGTTAGGTGGGGTAAAAAAAAGAGGGGCAATACCTGTTTTGTGATACCCATCTGAATAATAAAGCAAAAAGAGCTAGCAGGTGTGAAAGTCCATAAAAACAACACGCAAGAGCACTTCGCAATATCCTGTGGCCATCTTCTAGCAGATCAACCATTAAATTTAATTTGGCAGGTAGCTACATTAAGAGAGACTGTGATGCACAGCAGAATGGGAAGATGGGCTGATGGGAAAGCCATTTGGAAGAATTAAATTAAATATGAATGTTCTTTAAAAGAGGGAGAGAAGGACAAGGGAGAAGCAGAGATTGTAGGCATGCATCTGTTTAGCATCCAGAAGAATTCCTGACTTTGTCTATAATCCATAAACCATCTGTCTTCAAAACCATGTTGGAGGGTTAGTAGAGGATAGTTAGAAAAGGGAGAGGCTTTATTTTGCGAGGGAGAAATTTATTAGCTCCCTTTAAACCAAATATCACTGTGTTAGAGGCAGAGTATATGACCCAACTCAGGCCATAGTCCTTTCAAGGATAGCTCTGATAGTCCCCACCCACACCTTCCTTTGCCTTAGTTCTTCTCTAAATATTATCTACGACATCATGATGTACACCCACAATACTCTGGAAGGAAGGGCATTCCAGAGGTCACTGAGTCCATTCTCCTACTTTGAGGAACATATGTTCATTTAAACCATCACAGCAATATTAGTTTAAAGCTCACCAGGAAAGATTTCTGTGCCCTTGCTGTCACTGACTCGAATATGTTCTAATATTGACTCTCATGACTCTCTCCAAATATCTTAACCCAAATCTTTCCTGCTGTTGCTCATTTTCTGCTTCTTTCATCAGTAGAGATGAATGTCAGATATAGCTTATCACCCACATGATGAATCTTAACATACCTGAAGATTGCTATTGAGTGTCCCTTTAATATTCTCTTTGGGTTAAATAATTCTACTTTCTT